AGGAATGGAGAAAGAAAAGGCCAGATACAGCTGAGCATGGACATCCCATAATGTCACCTGCTTGGTTGATTCAAGCAGGATTTAAAATTGTCTCAAATTTAATCAGACTGCATAATGTCTGTGGTGCTGCAGTCTATATGCTCTATTCATGGTCTATTGTCTGTTTTCGCTTATTTTCTTCTAGCGTCTAATGACATTAGTTTTCCATTCATTCCCTCACTTTTAGTCTCATTGTACTAAAATGACCATAGAGACAAGGTGTGCTTCAAAAAAAAAGAGAGAGAGAGAGAGAGAGAGAGAGAGAGAGAGAGAGAGAGAGAGAGAATTTTGTTCAAACGTGGAGACTGATTTCATTCGCCTTGCAGTTAAAGAATAGACGATCAAGACCATTTATGAGGCATTTGGTGGGGAAGTGTTAGTCAGTTGAAGCTATGTTATTCATGAAAGCTCCCTGGAAGACTAAACCACGGGGTCATCTGTTGACAGAGCTGTAAAAATCAAAACTCATGAAAATCTGTTCATGATTATGGCAGTGGCTTGTGGGAGAAGCAGAGGAATGAAAGCCATAATGAAACAAGGAAGGCAGGGATTTGGATGGCATCCATGACCAGTTTCAAACCCACACCCTGTCTTCTGAGATAGATACTGAAGTCCTTAGCATGCTATCCGTAGTCTGCTCAGCATGTTTCTGAATACAATAGAAGGTAAGTGGAACTCTGATTTTTAAGTACAATTAAATGTAGGAGTGCTTTGCAGAGGAGAGACTGCCAGACATTAGGATTTGTGCATCTGTGGAAATTAAAGAGAATAAATAATCGGAGGACAGTGGAGAGTGCCAGCTGTCTGTTTCTGCCCACTGTTGGCAGCTCTGTCCCTCCTGCTGGGTTCTGTTGGATGGTGAGCTTCTACTTTACACTGAAGTCACAATGAAGTTTATTTAAACAAAGGGCAAGAAATCAAAAAGATACAAGAAGAAAAGCTGTCACCTTCTGGATTTTACTGTTTGGCGTTTCTTTCTTGTGAAAGAGTCCAGTTGTTCTCAGTCCTGCAACCCTCCTCCCCTTCCAAGCTGGCTTCTACTAGGAAGAGCACAGCCAGCATTGGTCTGAACATGATGCCCTTCTGTGCTCAGCCATCATGCTCACTTGTGTGCAAGCTTCAACTCCAACTATACTCCAGCTTTTCTGGTTTATACTAAGCTTCTGTTTAACCTAGAAAGATGTAAAAAAGGTTTTCCCTAGCTGGTGGTCTGGGCATGGGTGCTAACTCTTTTTATTGTAAAGTTTTTTTTGTTTTTTTTTTTTTTTAAAAACCATATCACAAAGTAGTATTATAGGTCATCCAATGTCACAGTTTCAACAGTTTTGAACAGCTGGAAAGTCTTGTTTGTCTTCTAACCCTACCTATTTCATATAGTTGTAAGTAAATGCCAGCCATTTTATTATTTTGTTCATCAACATTTTGATTTATCTCTTTAAACTAAAAAAAAAAAAAAATTCGAACTATGTGTATGGGATGAGGTATTTGCACCTCAATGCTGGTACTGTTGGAGACCAGAAGGCATCAGATCCCCCTGAAGCTGTAGTTACAGGAGATTTTAAATTTCTGGATAAAGGTTCTATTAGCTGAACTCATGTCCTCTGGAATAGCAGTAAGCACTCATAATTTCTGAGCCATCCCCCAGCCCCATCTCTTTTAAAGTAATCAATACACCATCATCATGTTTCTTAAATATGAGTAACTCCATAATAGCAATAACTATTTAACCAACATTTAAGTTTCTTTGACTTCATAAATATACTTTAATTTATATACTTATTTATTTACATATTTGCATGTGCTTGTAGCTTATTTTATTCAGGATATGATTAAGGTGTTATGACCTTTCCTCTACCCATTTCTTACCATCAGGACTTTCATGATGACAATCTTGATGTTCTGTTCTACACTTATTTTTATCTTTTGTATTTTCTGTCAAATTTGAGTTAATTATACAAGCTCATCAGTTTAAGTTTTTTTTTTTGGTGAGGAAAATGTTTCACAGATAGTGCTATAGCTGTCTTAATTACTTTTCCTGTTGCTGCTAAAATACCTTGGTAAATGTAACTTAAGGGAGAATGGATTTATTTGGCTCACCATTCCAGGATGTGGTCTATTGAGGTAGGAAAGTCACAGTGACATTCACTTAAGGCAGCTGGTCATATTGTAGCCACAGTAAGAAAACAAAGGACACTGAATGCCTGTGCTCAGTTAATTTTCTCTAATCTCCTGGAAGATGCAGCCACAGAAAATGGTGCCACCCATACATAGAGCCAGGTTTTGTGCTTCAGTTAAACTAATCTAGATAATTCCTCACAGGCATGTGCAGAGGCTGACCCAATCCCAGTAATCCTTCACAGATGGGCCTGGAGGTTTGTTTCCTAGGTGATACAAGATCCTGCCCAGGTGACAATCAACACTTGCTCTCACCATGCCATTCTATGAGAAACACCATCTGGTTCTTGTTTCCTTCTCCCTTTTTCTTATAGCCATTGAGAAATCAGAACTAACATTTCATTGGCTGCTTTGTTTTAAAAGAGATGTAGGAGAATATTAATGCAGCCTTGGTTTCAGGAGTACTTTAATTTTTCATGTTGGTATCATACAACATGCTTTAACTGCTCACTCTTTTAAAAAATGTGACATTAAGTAAGTCTGTCGCACATGACAAAGAAAGACGGTACGGAACAATCAGGCTATTACATAAAACCAGTATTTCATGGTATAGAGTTGTTCCGCATCAATATAGAAAGAATTCAATTGAAGATTAAAAGACCAAATTTAAAGAAATATGTTTCTGAAGAATTGCCCACACTATTCTGATTTTTCTTAGGTTACCATGAACAAGGAGGGCGGCATTCTGGGTTCCCATTAAGAACCAGAATGTAGCAGCTATTGTTTAATATCATCAAGTGGGTAAACACTGGTTAGATGGCATGGTGGAAATGTATTTAGTCAAATAATCATAACTCAATTTTGAGTACCTCCTCTGGAAATCATATCCCAAATCATTGTACACAGCAACTTCTACATACTCGTGTTAACAGCTACTCTTTAATGATTCAGTCAACACACATGGAAGATCCGTATTGGGTACTGAATTCATCACTGGGAATGTACAATGAATTAATGTACAGAAAATGCTGAATGCTGGAGACATGGTTTAGCCTGTAAGAACTTGTTCTGCTCTTTGTGAGAACCCAAGTTTGGTTTCCAGACCCCACTAGGGTGTTAGGAACTGCCTATAACTCCAGCCACAGGGGTGATCTGGTACCTCTGGTTTCTGCAGGTACAGGCACTCATGTGCACACCTCCACACACAGATGTACATACTCATAACTCAAAGTAAAATAGATCTCTCACAGACATACATTTATAACAATACTTACCAAAATGCAGAATCAAAATAATGAAATACAGCCAAAGGAAACTGAAATTGGGAGACCTTTATTAGTGGTTGTGTCCCTTCTCAAAAGCTATGTACCCATTGCCACTTAGTGTCCTTTACTGTGAATGAGTATGAGGCACCATTGTCTTTTCTCAGACTTATTTTTAAAACCTAAGTGTAATAGGGAAGGCCATCAAAAATTTTTAAATATGGTTGACAAGAAACTAGAAGACAATATCTGTAACTCATTGGAGCTGTAATTTTGGCAGCTTATATTTTTACTGTAATAGACATAAAGTATCCCCCATCTTTCATATCAATCTTCAAAAGCATTTCTTACCCTGATGATGCATTGAAATCATTTTGGAAAGTATTCCTACTTCACCATCAATGTGTCCTCCGTTACTGATAAGAAAACATCCCTCTTCAAAGCTGCAAAGAACTCACATAGATGGTTAGAGGCTAAACCTGTCTCCACTCCAGCTCTGCATTTCACACTCCCCTCACTGCCCACCTCAGGTTTCCTTCACCTTAGGAATTATGCAAATGTGTGGTTCATTTTAATTTCTTTGAGCATTAGGGCATCTGCCAGGGAAGCAGACTGTTTTAGAAACCAAAGACACTCTGAGTACAAACAAAATGCATGTGGTCCAGAGGTGTCAGAGACTGTCCCTCTTCTAGTCAATTGTTTGGCTTGTGCTGCTCCCAGTCCTCACTGCCTATCTCCTCCCTTTTAGCCTCTCTAATCCTCAATCTCCTGACTTCTTGACAGCAGTCTGATGGGATGGATCAGAGCTTTAATGGCAGTTTTGTGTACTGTTGACCTTGGCCAACCAATCTGATCTTGCATGACCAAGTCTCACTCCTTGATGAGAAAAAAATAACCTAAATAGGGCTGCTTGTTTTGGGAAGTTGAAATTTTTTGTTTTGTACTTTAGCTGTTTTAAGTTGTTTAATGTTCTTGGTAAAGCAACTATGTATGCTTTTATGGTAGAGTTGGGGTATATAGTTTATTTTTTATGTATTCCACATATAGTCTTTCTATACACCGCTCTTATCCACTCACCAGGGCATTGCATTAGGTGACTGGTAGACTGGCATCTTTAGGCAGATGTAGATTTCATTTGTAGAGAACTCTAATTCATTGTATGATAAGTATTTTAAATGCAAAACATCAACATAGTATTTCTGTCACTGGAAAGAGTCAAGGATGGATGCAGCCAAGAGCATAGTATTCTTTACTGAATGATGGGTCTTTGGGGCTCATGAGAAAGTGAGCACAAATCAGGGAAGTCAATGGAGAGAAATGTCCAAGGTACCTCATTTAAAAACTCTGCTTGTGTATGCTTGAGGACCTTGACAAAGTAGTTTCCTATTACGAGTCTAGTCTGGTAGAAATGCCTGAATTCAGTAAGCAGTATCCCATGGTTTAGTGAACAAGAATGGCCTTATTCCACTGCAGATGGGATGCTCAAAGTGAATGACACATTTCTGAAAAGTACACAGTCACTACTCCTTCCTTTTCTTTCTGTTTCTTTCAACTCAATTTTCACTTGGCTCTTCTTCCACACAGGTTGCCAATTTGGCCTGTTCCATCTCTAACAATGAGGAAGGGGTGAAACTAGTCAGGATGGCAGCTACCCAGATTGACAGCCTATGTCCCCAGGTAAGTGCCTTTCACTTGGCTTCCAAAGTCCGTTGCTATTCTAACAGTCATTGTACAGCCCCCCTTCTTTCTTTCTTTCTTTCTTTCTTTCTTTCTTTCTTTCTTTCCTTCGTCTTCTTCTTCTTCTTCTTCTTCTTCTTCTTCTTCTTCTTCTTCTTCTTCTTCTTCTTCTTCTCTCTTTCTCTCTCTCCCTCTGTCTCTAATTAGTGTGGGTGTGTGCACCTCACCTGTTGCACTGTAGCATGAAAGTACGTGCTGTGGACATGCATGTGGAGGCCAGAATTCCACTTTTATTTTTCTCTACATTATAATTATTATGTATTTTTATCTAGTGTCTCTTAGTAGATCTGAAGCTCATGGATTTGGCTAGGTTAGCTGGTCACTGTGCTTCAGAAATCTACTTTCCGCTGCACCCTGCCATGCCACTTTATAGCTGTGTGCTGCCACTCTGGCTTTTTTTTTTTTTTGTCGAAATCACTTTACCCACTATGCCATCTTCTCAGCCACATTCAGCTCCATTATTTTCTAATTGGAATATGTTAACTGTCAATCCAGTAGGGTTTCAAGTTGTACCTTTCTCAAAAGGAACTTCCAACCACTCAGTTTATTCAGGATTACAGTGGCAATTATCATCATTTTTGCTCCTATTGATTTCATTCTGCTTATTTGGGGTTGTGGTTTCAATGTTCTACATCTATTTACTTTATCTCAATAAGTAAATTATAGGCTTGCACATGCAGAAAGCAAGTGATATATTTTGCGCACATCTGTGCTAAGAAAATTAGACTTGTCCAGCAAACACTTTTTGGAGCCTGAAGCTAATTACTGTATCTTCAAAAGAAGCAGCCAAAAGTAATGGTGGCTTCTAACTTCCTTTATCTTTCCTGTTTCTGATTGGGCTGAGTACTGACAACTTATTTGTCTGCAGTAATTTCAAAGTCTGGGGTTTGAACCTGTGCTTTGACCTGCTATTCTCCCTTCTGAAGAATAATGTCATCGTGTCCCTTTGTTTTCTAACCAACAGGTCATCAATGCTGCCCTCACTCTGGCTGCCCGGCCACAGAGCAAAGTTGCTCAGGACAACATGGATGTCTTCAAAGACCAATGGGAAAAGCAGGTCAGAGTGCTGACGGAGGCTGTGGATGACATCACATCAGTGGATGACTTCCTCTCTGTCTCAGGTAATCAACTGCAGGCCCCTTAGCAGAGAGGCGGAAGAAGCTAACGAGATAAGAAATGTCTCAGCAATGATAGGGGTCTGTGATTCAAGGCCTCTCACCGGCCTTTGAGTTTTCAGTCATCCCAGCAAATGTGATTACAGCACCCTCTTGAAAAATTCTTATATCGAGACACTGAGTCAGGGCATTTGAGGGAAAAATGATAACTTTCTGATGACGATCTCAGAACGTGAACAGATTGTAACAAAGAGACTTACAGTCCATTTTAGATTTTGCATTTTGGGGAAGCAGGATGGATTTTCATCACATCTAAATTACCCATATACTTGGATTGGTTGACTTACTTGACTTATGACTTAAAATAGACAATCACTTATTCTGGCATGGCTATGTGAAGAAATTCTAGTTGGCTATATACTACAACCTGGAATTACCTGGGAAGAGAGTCTCCATGAAGGGTTGACTATATTCAGTTGTCCTGTGGGCATGTCTATGGGGAATTGTATCAAATTAATTAATGTGCCAATGCCCAGCCCACTGTGGGTGGCATGATTCCTTATGCTGTACTATAGGAGAATGGAAAGCTTGAGCTGAATACAGGCAGTCAAGCAGCATGTGTACGTCCATTTCCTTCTGCTTGTGGTTGGTGATTGTGACTAGTTCAATGCATTCCTGCCTTGACTTTCCTACAATGATGAGCCATAACCTGGAGCTGTAATCTGAAATATGTCCCTTTGTTCCCAAGTTGCTTTTGGCAGGATATCTAATCATAGCAACAGAAATGCAACCAGAATAGAAATTTTTGCAATCGAAAGCTTGTGATGAGACAGGTAGACTTACTAGCCTCATAATGAATCCAATAAGTCACAAAGTGCTGCATATGTGCTTGTGAATATGTATAATGAACGCCATGGAAGAACACAGAGGTACTCACCACTGTAATTGCAACTTTCTTCTCTATGAACATAACTAGGCAGGAGCAGGGTGGAAAATCCTGATGATGATCAAGTCATTCTGAGTTTCAATAGGCTTCATCAGTGCCATTTCAAGATTTGCCTCCCTGCCAGCAAGTGGGCATTTTGCCAAAGAGCTTTTGGACCAAATATGTTTAGCTCCAGTTTATCTAGAAAGGTCTCAATGGGGAGGAGGTCATGCAAAACACTGTCCTTGATTATAAGGTGTTAAAACAACCAAGCAATCCTTGAAAATTCTAATTGAACAGGTGTTGGATCTTCCCACAGGTGTGTGGAACTCATGCCCAGCAGCTCTTACAGCACTTGCCACAACTTGACCTGCTTAGGGGTGGGAGGTCTGAATCCTGAGATAGACCTGTGACTGCAGCTGTGGAAATGATTCAGGCAGAGGCTGCTGTGCTTGTGCTCGGGTATTTTCCCTTCTTGCAGACTTTCTGTTTCATGAAGAAACTGAATTCCCACTGCAGGCTGTGTTAAAGGATTGTCTGGGAGCAGTGTAGTCTATAGACCTATAGATCCAATGGGCAATCGAAAAGCCAGACTTGCAATGATAGAAAACAAGACAAAGCAGATGGGAAAACAAGCTAACCCATGCTCAGAGTCTATAATTTGCCTGGCTCTCTCCAGTTTTCTTTAACTCTTAACAAAATTCTATAAAGTAAGTATAAATATTTCCTAGTGTTTCTTTGAAAAAAAAAAAAGTAAGTCATCGAGAGGGTAGACGACTCTGAAAAAAAAATGTCATTAAAGTCCAGACTGTCCCCTCTCCAGAAAATATACAGTGTTCTCAATAGATGAGTGAAGAATGGAAATTTCTTACTTTCTTGTATGCTTTTCCACTCTCACTTCTGCTCCTTTCTTCAGCTCTAGGATTGTCATTCACGTTTCAAATCTCTCAACTTCTTCATAAGTTTGTCTTGATTGTCATTCCTTAAATGCTTGCCTTTATATGATATCTCAAAGTAGCTGATCATTTCAAATAGTCCCCTTTATAGGGTTTGACTGATAAAACAAAACAAACAAACAAACAATAAACAAAACACATTATGTTGCCATCCCTGGAGCTTTGTTTACTGATGGTTGAGCCTTAACATTGTAAACGTCACTCTCCACACAGGTCACAGCTAATGTGCTGAGAGTTGTTGACAATTAGAGAGTTATATACTAGAGAATGGAAAGGTAGCCAGCCACTAATGCTGGCTTTGGTGACTAGTTACTTTCTAGTAACCAAGAGCCTTCCCACCCAATCTCAGCTCACACACGACAATCCTGACACTTCCTGGAAAACTTCCTGTGAACTGCCTATATATCAGTAGAAAGTATTTATCCAAATACCCTGCCCAAAGAAGAATCATTTAAAACTCAAAAGTTTCCCCAACTTGTCCTTTTTCTTCAAATATATGTCCAAAATATTGTAAGAGTGAGAGAAGCAAGGCTTTGGCGGTGAGGGGTCTTATCTCAGTCGTTGTGAATAGCACAAGCTTTTCTTAATTTTCTTCCCCCGAGGCCTGCCTCTTCGCCACCTTTTTTCCTGCCATTCCTTTGTGCATCTCATTATTACTTCGAACAAGAAAAAGCTTTGGCTCCTGCTGATAACACCGTGCGGTCCAACCCTAGTGGTACAAAAGCTACCACATGCCACGACAGGAAAATGAACAGGCACTGTCAGGGAGCCAGGTTGGCAGAGCCTGCTGGAGCATGCCTGTGGAGTCTACAATCAGGCAGCAGGCACCTTTCTGTAGACAGAGCTTGACAAATACACACGACCCACTCTGTTCATGCTGATAGGCTTCGGACACAGCCAGATAGTTGGGGAAACTACTTCCCATGTCCTCTCCATTTGCATTGGTAAATTGCAGGTTTAACCTAGGAGATATTTCAGAATTCTACCAATGGTGTTTTGTGTATTAGTTTATTCTTAAGGCAGTTTTCTGACAGGAAAGTCTATATAAAAAGTAACACACACACACACACACACACACACACACACACACACACACACACTTATACACATGTTCAAACACATCTTTTTAACATGCATACTCACACACATATACATAGACATACCTTAATGTGCACACACATACATACATGTACATATACATACACATACACATGCATCTTTATTTCTAATGACTATAGTTTTTCCTCTATCATTCCACATGAACTGAACTCATATATCTGAATATATAATTTGGTCATATGGAACATCACAAATTTGGAGAACAACTATGTTGGTGATCACCATCACAGGAGTACAAACAGTATTCTGTTGTGGCCTAGATTCACAAAAATGTGAAATAGCTGTACTAGAACATTCCAACCTTTCTCACTGGGTGAAAAGTACCATTTTTAATAGTTCCCTAGATTGAATGTCTTGGCATCAACTGTGTGATAGTTTAATTCTTAGGTTTGGCTCTCAAAATTGTAGAGAGCTAAGACTGGTAAAAAGTCATTAATCCCACAATGTTCAAGACTTTTATTTTGTTTGTCTTTCTTTCTTTCTCCTCCTATTAAAAGCCTAAAACAAACAAACAAAACTCCAGGATTCTGAAATTTTTTTTGGAGGTATTCATTCTGTAGCTTGTTTTGAATAAGAACTTCAAAATAAGCTTTGTGGTTCACAGATATTTTTTTTGTGGTTGTCATTGATTTTGCTTTGTTAAGTAACAAAATTTCTTCTTTTCTGAAAGAATAAAGTTGCAAAAATCCAAGAGAGTATGTCATACGACTTGTTGCAAACACATTTTCTGGTGTTTACAAACCATGCTTGGCAATTGGTGCAGCAGACATGGTGCATGACAGTTTTTTCTTCACTAAGACACCCGAAGAACACACATGCCTTATTAACTCTTTCACCCCTGCTCTTTTTTTTTTCTATTCAGAAAAGTATTTTTCAGCTTCCTTCAGGGGTTGTTTATTTTCAAAATATTTTAGGATGGAAGTGTACAATAGATCTATTCCCTGAACAAGCATCTTGACTTACCACTCTTCTTGAGTACATGCTGTGTGCATTATTTTGGCAGCAATTCAAATCTGAATCACTTGTGGCTTCTACCTTAAAGGAATTCACCACCTTCATTGATGTACAAGAGGTAGATGTGATTCCAAGCACACTGGTCTCTGGGGTAAGGATGCAGAGACTACGAGGAAGAAGGTATCCAAGAATTCATGGAGACACTAAGAGTTGTATTTTGACTAAAAGGGTCATGTCAACATGGGCAGGTGCAGCTCCTTTTCAAACACATTGCTGTCACTGAGATTAGCAATACACAAGTATATGCAAAGACAGTCTGAATCTCAGTGGCTTCTCCACAAAAGTGCCATCAATTAGTATAACCACTATTGTGAGCGAATTCTGACTAATTTTTAAATAATTGGCATTTGTAGGTTGGAGGACAGTTGAGAGTAGCTGAGCAAACTATCTTAACATTTTTAAACACATGAATCCAGACTAGTAGCATGCAACTCTAATCCTATCAGTGATAAGCAGAGAGAGGTGGATCTCTGTGAGTATAAGGCAAGCCTGGTCTACATAGTGAGTTACAGGACAGCCAGAGCTACACAGAGAGACTCTGTCTCAAAAAATGAAAAAAATTTAAAATAACTTAAATAGTAAATGTGAAATTAGGTAGAATAAAGTATTAATTATACTAATTTTGTTAACTAATAAATTACCTGCTCTTGCTGATTAAAAAAATTTTGTCATTAACAGAATTTTAAGCTAAGCTGCTTTCCTTCAAATGGGCAAAGATTTACTTATAACAGTATCATATTTTTTCTTCATGGATTTAATACATTTAGATGCAAATTCCCATCTTGGAAAATAATTAAGATTATTGTTTTTAAAACCTTTGGTAGCAATATAATTTATTGGATCATGAATGGACTTTTTAGATTTTTTTTTGTAAAAGTATTAGTTCCAGAGAGATTAACAACATAATCAACAGTCTTCACTGCTTTGCAGTCTGTTGCTAAATACCATCTTTTCCAGTTGCACAGAAAAAGCAACAGCTAGCCATGTCATTTCCAGCAGTATGTAAGTGTGAACACATGTTTTTACCCAGGAAGCCCATCCCAGAAGCTCCCTTTTAGGGGCCAGGACAGAGTGTGATTATATCAAGGAACCCATCTGCTGGAAAGAAGGCTTATGGCGTCAGCTTTCTGTATTTAAAACACCGTACACTTTCATTTGAGTCAGCCTTTTCCTAAGGTGTCTGCTCAGGTGAGTTCAAAGGATGCAGTCTGCCTCCCAGGAAGGGATGGTTACCAAGAATTCCTTAATAAGAATAAAACCTTCCCACAGCTACATTTTCACAACTTTGCTTTGCTGTTTCACTCAAGAAAATATCAGCATTATAAAAGTTTGCTTTTGTTAAGTTTAAGAAAGCTGAATATTAGCCAGCCTTTATAGATACCTTTATTGTTTTTCCATTCCATTGAAATTAAAGAACCAGAAAGTGTAGAAATCAAAAACTTAGGGCAGGCAGAATGGCTCAGCAGGAGAGGCACTTGCTGTACAAGTCTGGTGACCCGTGTTTGACCCTTAGGACCCAAGTAAAGGTGGAAGGAGAGAATGACTCCATAGAGTTGTCATCTGACCTCCACACACATGCAGTGGCTCCATTTCCCTCTCAGACACTATACGAATAATAAATAGAATAAACTGAAAAAGAAACAGAATGATTTCAGTGTGGAAATACGATATAAGATTGAAATTAATGTTGTTTGGTGAATAGTAGATTATAACTAGCGGCTTTTGAAGTGGTCTCCGACGTCAGAACATGCACCTATCTCCAATGATTATTTTTATTACAATTATTTTTACTAATATTTTTTCATACAATATATTTTGAAGATGTTCCCCTCACTGTCCCAGCTCTCCTACTTTCCTCCTACCAACTTCATGTACTCCCTCTTTCCCTAAAAAAAAAAGAGACAAAAATAAATACAAAAATCAAATAAGACAAAAACTGCCCAAAGAAATGAAATAAATGTCCCATCTCCTTTACAAGCATAAAATATACTTCTAAGTCATGATCCTGCCCTGGAATGTGGTTGATATGCCCAGTGACACTCCCTTGGAGTAAAGTGATTTTTCCCGCCAGATAACTCTTTTCAATTCGCCTCCTATAGGAACTTAGAAACCGGAAGTGGCCATAGAAATTTTTTGTAAATAGCTAATAATTTAACCTTTCTACTAGTCATTGAATTTTGTTGCCCTAATTTTATAAGGTTAACAGATTACTTAAGACAATAGACAAGCTAGCTCTATTGAAAAAATGAGTTTGCCCGCGCACGTGTGAGTGTGTGTGTGTGTGTGTGTGTGTGTGTGTGTGTGTGTGTCTTAGTCTGCTCAGTGCTAGAACAGTATTATAAATTAGGTTGCTTATTAGTAATAGAAATCTGTTTCTCAATGCATTGGAGGCTGAAATCCAGAACGAAGGTATCTCATAGATAACTGAATTCACTGAAGTTCCACACTGTGGGAGGGGAGAGGGATATCTCTGGCATGTCTCTTAGAAATGAAATAATTCTGTCACCTGGACTCAGCCCTCACCACTGTGTCACCTCTCAAAGTCCTTATTTCTTAATGTCGGAACTCAGACAATGTGATGGCTTCATCCATGCCTGGAAGTACAGGTCGATGGTCCTAGTTCTTAGGAGACTAAGGCAGAAAGGTCCTGAGTTTTAGCTCTACCTTAGCCAAATTGTAAGTTCAAGACCATCACAATCAACTTAGTGAAACCTTTTATCAAATTGAGAACCAAAAATAAGTGTTTGTTAAGTTAGAAATGAGCACTTGCTGAGCAATGAGTAATGCTCTAAGTCCAATCTTTAGTACCATAAATAAATAAATAAAAATTTAAAAATACAAAATGTCTTTGAACTATTTTGCATATCTGCTTTTTATAGCCTCTATCAAACCTTATTCATTCATTCATTTATTTAGTGTGTGTGTGTGTGTGTGTGTGTGTGTGTGTGTGTGTGTGTGTGTGGGAGAGAGAGAGAGAGAGAGAGAGAGAGAGAGAGAGAGAGAGAGAGAGAGAGTAAACTTTTGTAATTGAGGCACAATTTGCAGGAGTTGGTTCTCTCCTTCCATCCTGTGGGTTTCAGATTTTGAACTAAGGTCATCACAGGCTTGGAGAGAAGTAATTTAGCCAGGCTGAGATGCTCTCTGACTCTTTTTAGTTTTAGATGTAAATTAAAGCATGAGAATAATGAACTACTTAAATTTATGCTTGAAATTTCAATACATTGAGGCACGAGCATTCTGTCACTATAGTTATGGTTGTGTAAGTGCCTGTGTATAATTTTCAGCTTAAAGTTACTTTCTTTGGAGCACTGAACTTTTGAGAATTTCTTTAGAATTGTGCTTTTAAAAATACTCAAAAGACATAGTTACAATGTAACATTGGACAGGGAAATGAAACAGAGCCCACTTGCTGTACTGTGAAGGTATGTGCTTCTCTACAGCAATACAGAGTCAGCTCCACTCCCACTTGGGTTTCCCCTACTGTGGTCCTTCAAATGAGAATAGTGCTTGCCTGCACTGTAATCTGATGAAACACCACAAACTGAATTGTGCTTAATTCATGGGAACTCTGTAAACTTTCCCCTGAATCCATTTTCTCTGTACTATGTGTTCCATATAATATGACTTTAGAAGATGTTATCAACTGACTTGGGTTGTCCTGCCCAGTTTTATACATTGTTTCTCAATAAGAAGATGATTAAGTATTTTGCATCTTCAGGTCTTTTTAGGTAGAGCTAATATTTCCAGGTCAGATTGACTTTTTGTTGGCTGTCATGACTCCCCAGTTTAACTTTTTTTTTTAATGTGGACATACATGTGCCTGAGTGCTTATGTGTACCATGAGTATGCAGGTGCCTGCAACGGCCAGAAGAGGATGCTAGATTTCCTGGAATTGGAGTTACTGATGGTTGTGAGCCACTTAATGCAGGTTTTCTGAACTAAATCTGAGCTCATTTCAAGAGCAGCAACCACACTTAACTGCTCAGTCATCTCTCCAGTCCCTCTCTTGACAACTCTTAAAAGACCCTCCATGGGCAATAAGTTTCATTCTTTGAAACAAAATAAGGGATTACTTTTTCATCAGTAGGTCTCACACTATGGGGTTCCCCACACCAGCCTGATTAGCATCCCCTGGGAATTTCTTTGAAACTCACTTTCTTAGGTCTCATCCCAAAGCTACTAACCTAGTTTAGTTTTCTTTTACTGTGATACAACATTAAGCCAAACACATCTTGGAGAGAAAAGGATTCATTTGGCTAACAAATCCCAATTCTGGTCCATCCTTGTGGGGAAGTCAGGGCAGGCATTCAAGGTAAGAACCTGGATGCAGGAACCCAAGCAGAATGCATGAAGAAAGTTGCATGCTTGCTTGCCATGGCTTGCTCTATCTGCTTTCTTATATTATCCAAGACCACCTGCCAAAGAGTTGCACTGCCCAAGGTAGGCTAGGCCCTCCCACATCAACCATCAATCAAGAAAATGCTCCACAAATTGTTCACTGGCCATTCCAATGGAGACAATATGTCCCTTGAGGCTCTCTATACCCATGTGTGTAAGCAAAAACTAACCACTACAGCTATTGAGTCAGAAACTCTCAAAATTTCTCCAAAGTATCTGTGTAATAAACCCTCTTTCTGGTGCTCAGGTTTTACAACTACTATTGTATGTGTAAGTGATGCCCTTTAAATACTATTTCATGCCATTAGTTATGTAGTTGGATCTGCAAGGTGGGAACTGTTGAAAGAGTTTTCCATTAGTCATTAGATTGTGAATAGTACAAGGTCATATAAATGTGCGTGTGTCCTCTTCACAGAAAATCACATCTTGGAGGATGTGAACAAATGCGTGATTGCCCTCCAAGAGGGGGACGTGGATACACTGGACCGAACAGCTGGGGCCATACGGGGCCGAGCAGCCCGGGTCATTCACATCATCAATGCAGAAATGGAGAACTATGAAGCTGGGGTATATACTGAGAAGGTGCTGGAAGCTACAAAATTGCTTTCAGAAACAGGTAAGCATGGATGTTATATCTGCCCCAAATTTTAGTGCTATGATTGACTTCTTTATCTGAACAGAGTAGTTAGATTTTCTTCTACAGTCCTTGATGCCTCTAATTTTTATGTGTCAACGGAGGTGTGCAAAATGTGAATTTTCTTGAGTTTGTATTTGAGTTATAGGAGAAAAACAATTTTATTGCTTTTCATATATATATATATATCACTTTGTCATTTTAAAGTGTAATATTGTTTGATTCTCACTATGAATTTTGAAATAAGCAGAGAAATTTTGAGTTTTTTCCAAATTACAGATGGAAAGTAAATGTTTGAACCTGCTAAGAGAGAGGAATACAGTCTCCAAGCTAGAAAAAAGTTTAGATCTGAATGAAGGTTGGTTTCAGTGTGAATTTCTAAAGCATATCTTCATCAATTTCTTGAGAGAATTGAACCTGAAGAACTTGGGATTACCAATGGGAATCATAGAGGCTCTACACAGTACTTCTCAACATTCCTAATGCTGTGACCCTTTAATACAGTTCCTCATGTTGTGGTTACCCCCAATCATAAAATCAGTTCATTGCTACTTCATAGCTATAATTTTTCCACTGTTATGAATCACAATATAAATATCTTATATGCAGGATAGCTAATATGTGACCTCCAAAGGTTTGTAATCCACAAGTTGAGAACTCTTGCTCTGGGAGACTAGATGTGAGGTACTTGGAGAAGCCAGAGAGTGCTGCTGAAAGGGGCTAGAATTTGAATGTCTACCCAGACTTGAATGTCCTCATTTAGGTCATGTTCTATCCAGTGGGGATTTGCTGTTCACATAATGTGACCTATGCAGCTGGGTCCTAGAAACCTGACTGGGAGTGGCAGGAGATTAAGAATATTATATACAGCATGATGAGGAGGCAGGTTAGTTAGTCTCTGTTGTGGAGGTGTCTCTGTTGGGGGTCAGGATCATGTAATTCTCCCTGATTGAGGCTACATTTGGTACTTTTCAAATATGCTGTTTTCAGCTAAAGGTCAACCATTCATCAACATCCATACTCAGAACAAGGAAAGGTCTTGCCATTACCCTGAGCTTAACTTTGGGTGTCACCATTCCCATAAGTCTGAGGCAGAGATGACATGGCCATGCTCATGCCAATAATTCACATTGACTCAGGACTTCATCCACTCTCCACAGAAAGAAGCTATAACTTTTAGGCTCTTGTAGCCTTCTGGTGCACTGGGATGGGAAATGAGATACTACTGTTGAGTTATCAATGCATTCTATAAGTTTGAAGCCTGTATGAAATAATGTGTGATGTGTGTGTGTGTGTGTGTGTGTGTGTGTGTGTGTGTGTGTGTGTGTGAGTGATAATCTTTGTTATTGATTAATGTCAGACACTTAAGTACCTCATCCCTTCTATTTTTGCTTGTGAGTTGAGGGGTTGGAATGTCCAAGAAGTGAGAGAAACAAGAGAGAAGAAAAGATAATTCTTTTATTTGTATGGAGCTGAGAATGAATACTGAAATGGGTCAGAGTGTCCACACAATAGTATTTCTCTTCCAACTTCAATGAGAACCTTACAAGGGAGTTTGCATATTCACTTTGGACACAATCAGGTATTTAAAATAGATATTTCTGTAGGGTGACACTGTCCTGTGTTTAAGAGTGGTGATTGATATCAGTAGAAATCTGTTTTCTTTTACATAGGAAAGATTATTTACAAAAACTTTGTTAGCTTGGAAGCATCAAGAAAAAATAACCAATCAATCAATCAATCTCCCCAAACACCTCCTAAGTACAAATATTGGCCATTTTCTCTGAAACATTAGAATAAATAGAAGAATGTAATACCATGTTATGAAGTGTACATCTAGAGATTGCTCTTGTGAACCTACTATACTAAAAAATAATAAAGATCATAGTCAGATATATCTATACTTTAATTGATTCTGGGTTATCATTACTTTCTTTCAAAAAGACTTGTCTCTTGCATGCAATAGAGCAATAAAAAGCAAGCTGGATATACAGTGTTTCTCACTGAACTTAAAGAAATAGACAGACGGGATGATAGGGAAATTAATCGTACTTGATGTTCTTCCAGAAGACCCAGTGTAGTTATCAGCATCCACAATCATGTTGGGTGGGTCACAATTCAGCTCCAAATGTTCTGGTCCCTACAGAACACACACACACACACACACACACACACACACACACACACACACACACACACACATTAAATATTAAAAGACATTATAATCAGACATTTTATTCTTCTCTGCTGGTTCCTCTGCTTTATCCTCATATAAGAATGAACCTTCTTGTGATTTATTTCACACATAATACCAGCACACTTTTGATGCTGACCCTACTTAGAGTATCTCCTGCTCATGACTCTGCAAACAGAATGTCAAATGAAAGATATGGGACATGTTGCCAATTTCTGTGAGACTCTATGCCCCAAAATCAGAGGCCCAGTTTTTGAATAGGTCATTTTGTTGCCATGTAGCCAGCCCCTAAGTAGGCGTGGAAGCTGTAGCCACGCCTACTTTGCCATTTTTAAATTTTTTGATTTTTGTGTTCTTTATATATTCTCGTTACTAATCCTCTGTCAGATGAATAGCTGTTAAAGATTCTCTCATATTTCATGGACTTCATTCTTACCCAGTTTGTTTGTTTCTTTAGCTGCGCAGAAGCTTTTTAGATCATGAAGTTCCACTCATCAATTATTGACCTTAATTCTTAGGCAAAAGTGGTCCTATTCAGGAAGTCCTTGCCTACACCTATATCAAGTAGGATAATGCCTATGTTTTCTTCTAGTAGTTTCAGTGTTTTAAGATTAGGTCTTTGAGCCATTTGGAGTTAGTTTCTATGCAAGGTGGTAGATATGCATCTAATTTCCTTTTTCTGCATGTGGACATTCAGTTTTTCCAGCATCATTCATTGATGATGCCTTATTTTTCTGGATCAGAGTTCATTTCTTGTAGACCAGGCTGGTCTCAAACTCAAAGAGATCCGCCTGCCTCTGCCGCCCGAGTGCTGGGATTAAAGGTGTGAGACCACTGCCTGACTCCCATATTTTTATTCTAAGGTTTTGATCATGTTTAAAGCTAATATGAGTTTCATGTAGACAGCAGATACATGGAATTTTTTAAAATAATCCATTCAGGCAGTCTGCATCTTTTGATTAAAGAATTGAGTTCACTGATATTTAAAGTTTTATTGGAGTGTGCACTTTAATAACAGGCATTATGTTGTTGATTTTGGGTGTTATTATTAGTGGTGGAACTTTTGTGATTTAATAATTATGGCTTTTTATTTTTTTGCACAGTCTCTCTGCTATGCTTATTTCTCTCTTTAGCACAAAATATTGCTTCCTGCATTTTCTTTAGGTTTTATTTATACTGTAGAAATGTTTTTTTTCTCTTTTACTTATGGCAGAGAGTTTTGCAACATATGTTAGTCTAGGTGGGTCTTCATAGTCCTTTAGAACTTGGAATGCTTTGCTCCAGGCTCTTCTGGCTTTCAGTGTTTCCACTGAGACATCTTCTGTCATTTGGATGGGTTTTCTTTATATGTGACTTTCATTTTATCTCTTGAATCTCATGATACACTTTCTTTCTTATGTGTATTTAGTGTTTTAGCAATGATATGCATGCCTCAGAGATTTTCTTTTCTGGTTTGCTCTATTTGGTGTTTTGGGTATTTCTCGGCATATGGGTAGGTTTGTCTTTCCTTAGTTTGGAAAAGTTTTCCTCTATGATGTTGCTGAAGACCTGGTCTCTGCCATTGACTTGGGATACTTCTCCCTCATGTTGGACTTTTTTTGTAAGTTCTAAATTTGAGATGGACAGAGCACATTGGGACTGAAAGGTCATTTGGGTGGGTGATGCCCAGAAGTTGTGAATGGCTTGGGTGAATGAAGTCAGATAGATGGAGGGGACTGTGCTGGAGTGCAGGTTGTGTCTCCCAATCCAAGCTTGGAAAATGGGCATAGTTAGAGCCTATTGAGAAGGCTGGATGTGGCATGGAGGGGACCAATGGATTGAGGGATAGGAGAATCCTGACAGAAACCTAGAGGTAGGTTGTAGTACAGCCAGACAGTGGTGCCAGACTAGAATGAAGCACTGGATGTGGGGCCAAGCCTAGATCTGTTGGTTTTGGGGAGAAGGTGTGAATGGGAAGGGCTGAGGACACATTTTAAGTTAGACCCTGGAGAAGGATATGGTAGACCTGGCTCATTAGGGACATTGGACACAGCACAGAAGGGGTGGCAGTTCAGGCAGGTCCTAGTGGAAGTCAGTCTCTTTTTTATTTTAAGTTCTCTAAGACTTACATATGGTATGTATCTTTCCAAATTTACCACCACTTACCTATCCAACTTTGTGTTCAAAAATCAAGCAAACAAAAAGAGAAACCCATCAGTTTCTATTCCCCAACTATTCATGAATGTGCAGTCTTCTAATGGAACATGGAATACTTCAGGAGCTCCCCCTCTTCCAGCATCTAACACTTACCAGTATCTTCACAACTATGGTTGGGACTTCGTGTCCACCTCCCCTCTCCATGTTGAGATTTGGTTTGGCTTGGGTTTGCACAAGTTGTCATAACTGCTGTGAGTTCATGTGTGTTGCTGCCCTGCAGTGTTCAGAAAATAATCTTACAGTTTTCACTCCCTCTGGCTCTTACACACTCTTTCTGCCCCCTTGTGTGTTGGTGGATGTTTGCTTTAGATTTGACCACTTTTTGTTGTAAGATTATTGGAGTTAGTCCTGAAGATACATTTTATTTTGTGGAGAGCATAGAGGGATAGTAAGATGACACTGAGGGGAAGTAAGGTGAATGGAGGGGAGAAAGGTGACAATGACAATGACAACTGAAAACAGGGAGAGTTTCAAGGCTACAAATAAAGTGCCAATTATAAATTTAGAGCTGAATGTCCACCCTAAGTGCACATGGGAAAATCCCAGCAACAAATGAAGTATAGGTGGGTGGGTCACTGAGGCTTAGTGACCA